AACTGGGAGGTCCTATTGTCTGTGAAGCACTTCCAAGGAAGACTAATTAACTGGTTCACTCAGTAATGAACTTGCCTAATAGAGGAGACGTTGTCTCTACTGTAGAGTGTACAATTGGATTTTAGTTGATTTCTGTAAGAATGCCAATATTTATCTCTGAGATCCTTAAATCATGCTAGAGAAATGATGGCGCCTTACATTCTAAACACAAGAGAAAGCTTTTAATGAATTTTTCTTTCATGTTTTGCTGTATGTTTGAATATCTTTCTTTTTTAGATATAGTTGTGATACTGGTTAACAATGACCAAAGTTCAATAAACATTTATTAAACACCTACTATGTGCCAGTAACTGTTCTAAGTACTTTAAAAGGAATTCATAAGAAGGAGCCTTGGTGTAGTACACAACTGACCTTAGAATCAAGAAGACAGACCTGGCTTCAAGTCCCACTTTTAACACATACTTGTTTTGTGACCCTGGGCAAGTAACTGACTAATCGCGTCAGTGTTATAGACAACTTTCTAGGACTTTAACTTGCAGAACAATTGTTGTTCTATATTGGTAGAAGGAGTTTCTTCTCTGTGAATTCTCTATCCCAATAAAATCATAGACTGAGTCCAGAAAGAAATAGAATTCTCCCTTTCCAAATCTCATTTTGGTCTTGTGGCTTGAATTGGTAACATTGCATACTTTTCCTGGAAGGCTATGATTTCTGGCCATAAAATGAAGCAAGCATTGGACCAGATGAATTCCAAGTTCCCTGCTAGCCCTAAATTCACTGATCCTATGACATCAGGTTCACAATGAGGTAAATGTAGTTGAATTCTGCAGGGGTAAGTGACAAGATACTGCTGAGACATCTCCCAAGTAAAAATATGTAACTGACTAACCAAGACAACATTTTTGAGATGAAATTTCTAGACTTTCTTTTTGAAGAATTGTCCAAGGGATTTTGGTTTCCAATTGTCTAGTTTTCCTATGAAGAATACCTGGTGTTTTCAGATCATGGTAGAACATTCTTTGAATGGGAAACTATTGGTTCAGAGATGTTGAGTATCTACTACAGTGTATAAGCTATAAAAAGAGACAATGATTCCATTGGTGGATATTTTCTCTCTAGATATCTTTAATTAAAGAGTTAAAAAGAATTTAGGGGATATTTACTAAAGTCAAAAATGATAATGCCATTGATTAAGCAGAATATGAATTAATCATTTCATTTAAGGTATTTCTTCCTTAAGAACATGTAAGTCATGTTCTCCCAACCCATGTCTGTCTCTAATTCTGTTAAGTTCATGCTAATTTTTATCTCAGTTTATCTGATGACAAACCTGAGCTAAGTCTCATAAGGCAAAGTATTAGACTATGATTGAGGTTCATTCAGGAACAATTTATCCAGCAGTTTTTATAACATTTCTTAACTATTAGCTAATTATGGCCTAATGCATGAAGCAGTAAATTAGCCTTCATAAAATATTAGGAGCTTGGTGCAATACTGTGCAAATATCAACGTCAAATGCAACTTCGATTGCATACCCAAGCTTAAGATATATCATGTGAAATTCCCTCAGAGCTGCGTTTGGAAATTCAAAACTCACCTTTGTAATAATGTGCTACTTCTTTTATATTAGTCTATGGTTTCATTGTCTAAAATTACGTACTTGGAATAAAAATTTAATTTTCTCTCTAGTAAATTAGAATTTTTAGGCAATACAATCTAAAATCAGGTGGCATAATTTAAAGAATTTGCTTGCAATGCTCTAATATTTGCAAATATGTATAAATATAGACATGTATAATTTTTAAATGTTACTGATATAATAACTTGACAGAATCCTACACCCCTAATGATGTTTCCTCATTTAAATGTCAGCTAGTAGAGATAGAAGCAACATAAAGGCTGTAAGGAAAGGAAAGAAGTAAGTTAGAACACTCCTTTTGACCGTAAGCCCATTTTAGACAGCCCCCAAAGAGATTCCCCTGAGCTTACGCTGAAACAAGTTATTAAGTCAGTAAGTTTTTATGTCTCCCATGAATGGTAGCCATAGTGGAATCTAACTTCTCAAGAGAAAAGTAGAAGGAAGTAGAAGCAAATGAGGTATAGATATCAAAAGATTGAATTCTACTCTGTCCACTTCAAAGTAAGAAAACAAAGGAATCATATTACAAGAAACCATATTGCATTGGTAAGGGGAAGGATTGGGTAACAACATGAGTTTTCTACCAGAACTAGTCTTCAGTTCAGACAAACATGCTCTGATTGCCAGCATCTGCCTACATGCTTGGAAATGGTTGTATTTGAGTTTGCAAAGCCAGTACTTTACATGCTTGAACTTCAACTGTTCTAATCTTGATTCTAACTCATGAGCAAGAAACTCCCCATTTCTCTTTCTTATATTGACCATCTAACCAGTATGCTGCTTGCTTACAGCATCCAATCGCATGCCATCAGAATGAAGCATCTTGTTGCCAGCTGCCTTTAACTCAGTTCTCCCTTGAACATGAATTTCCCTCTCTCAGAATACTAAACTTGAAATCACCTGTGCTAGCAAAATTGATAACTTATTTGGTTTTCTTTCCTTTTTTTTCTCTTCAGTTTATCTCCTTTCAGTTTGTTGTTTTGAATTTTTATTATGCTTGCTTTCCCCCTCCCCTTTTGTCACTCTCCCTTCTCTCATTTTGTTTTCTCCATTCTTCTCATTGGAGGCAATGAGCCATCCAGCGGCCGGAACTCCCCTCTCCCTTATCGGCCAGACAGCCGCCCTCTAACTCCAACTTACGCTCAGGCCCCTAAACATTTCCATGTTCCAGGTAGGAGCTGACACTGTATGTGTCTTGGTGTCCCGTCACAGTGTAGATTGTAGCCTTGTAAAACCTTTGTCTTGTCTCCATTACCTCACACTCTTTTATTGGGATGCATACAGTTGACAAGCCTAAATTGGAGGTGCTGTTCTAAACGATCATTAGAATAGTTTTATACATGAAATGTAAGGTGATATTAAAGGGTTGTTTTTGGTTTTGCTTTTGTTTGGGGGCTTTTTATGATTGTCTATGGGGGTGGTGTTACTGAAGTTATAGTTGTGGTGACTCAAAAGGAAAATATCTTGTGCTATATATTAATTATTTCTAGATATTAGTTCACAGTATGATTTGGTCCACATGGCAAGGTGAAGCTTTCTTCCTGTTATTGATGTTGAACTATGTAGCTTCAAGGATCTCACTTTTATATCCCAAAGCAATTCTCTCTTTGCCTCAATTGTAAGAATATTCCCACAGATTTTTAATTTCCTGTCCTAGAGATGTGATACCAGATAAATTGAGTGTTCTTTTCATGACATGAAATTAACTGTTTGTGGCAGTATGACTGCATAGTAGCCCACCAAGCAGCCTTGCCTTTCAGGCTTAGGGCTGGAGGCTTTGCTTGGGTATTTATAAGCATCTGCTGATCTGAACAAATGAATGTTCTCCAGCAAGGGGTGCGGAAAGAAAAGTCAGTATTTTGTAGGAAAACAAAATTCTTTGTCTTAATATTAGAATTGGCTCAGCCCTATAAGGAATACAGAATCAAGCAGAGTTTGCCAACCATAGTTATCATAGAGTTCAAGCTATGGTATGCTTTAATTGGCAATAAAGGTAAAATTCTCCACCGTAAGACATTTTTGACCTCTCCTGGCTACTGAAAATTATTTTAATAAATTACCCATTATTTTAATCTTAGTTAACAATTGGCAAACTAATTTATTTTTCTATTTAAGTCAAGAAATTGCAGTAAAACTCAGGGTTACTGGATTTAGAATCAGAGGACCTGGATTTGAATCCTAGTTCTGCTATTTACAACCTACGTGACTTTTAGCAAGTCATTTTCCTTCTCTGGACTTGTTTTCTCATGGGTAAAATGAAGGCATTGGATGATATCTCTAAAGTCTCTTCTCACTCTAAATCCTATGATATCTCAAAATATCTCTAAGGTTTGGTTTGTCATATGGTTTTAGATTGAGGCATCAGTGACATAATGGATAGAGAGCTGGTCTCAGAGTCAGAGTGACCTGAGCTTAAGGCCCAAGTGAGTATATTGACCATATGGCCTTGGGCAAGTAATTTAACCTCTCAGTGCCCCCATGCAATTCTCTAAAATTATAAGTTGTTAAATAGTTTCTGATCTACATTGCTGGAAGGTCTTGTTGAGGGTACCTTTCACCAATGAAATCACAGATCTAGTCAAAACGGTTCTAATTTAGAGCCATCTTCTGTGGTTTGAGAACTTTGAGAATAAATTTATATTTGTAACTTTTAGTCTCATAATGCTCCATGAAGATTTAATTCCTTGAGGCTTGAGGAGAAAATAAGTATTTTGAGATTTTGCCAGATGTATTGGTAGCAGATGGGTCTTAATTAGCAGTAAGGAGGTGGTTACTATCCCACACAAATTAGGATTAGATTGAGCATCCCATGAAAACATCTGACTGTTTTTAGAGTAGAAAGCATTTTCTGTGATTTCTAATTTCACTGCATTGCTTCACACTCAGTTCAGCTCATTAATTAAAAGATAAATTGGACTCTGGTATCTACCAGAAGCTCAATTTCCAGGCAGCAGCAATTTGAGGAGGTTTTTTAACCTCCGAAATAGTTCTGTCTTTCACACCATCAAAACATCTCCTTTGTTTTCATTTTTCTCAATTTTTATCACATTCTTACTGAAATATATATATATTATATATAATGGACATATATATATATAAATTAAGTGGCTCACATCTTGGTTACATCAGCATATTTATCATAAGATGTATTACAAAGACTTTCATGTCACATGTCTGATAATTCACTCATTTTTGTGTTTTTCCTTCAAATAAACTAACTCTTTGTAATACAAAAGAAAACTTTCTGGCCTTTTTTTTTGTTCAAGACTCTTCACACTGGCTTAAAATTTGGTTTATTTTTTCTTGTTTCATAACTGAACTTGTCTCTGTACTCACACATCTTTACTTTTTCATTCCACAGATCAAGGGATCAACATATACCGAAAACCACCCATCTACAAACAACATGGTAAACCTGCTTTCCTCCTTGTAATTCTTAAATAGGAAAGTCAACTCAAATTCATACCTTTGCTGGTCACTGAAGTGCTTACCCAGGGCTTCTTTTAACAAAATTACAGCATCCAGTGGAAGGTGTGTCCAGACATACATAGAGTAATTCAAAGATACAATATTTAATTGTGGTCTGTGAAGGTACAAATTTTATGCACATGCCATAGAAAGTTGATTGTCTAGAGGAAGTGAATTCATTATGGTAAGATTGTATTATAGAAACAGCCAACGGAACCTAGATCACAAAGCCATATTAAACTGGATCCAGCAGCCAAAAGAAAAAACAATGTTCTTACTCTTTGTAGTAAAGCTAAGAGTTTTACTATATGACCTATATTGCATGTAGACTTCCTAACTGGACTAATTGCCTAGAAAGCGTATATAACCCCAATAACTTTGAAGAGCATCAACCTAGTAGGAACAACAAAACAAATGAAAGCAAATGAGACAAAGTCTCTTTGGGTAAACCAAAGTCAACTTAGTTGCTCAGTTACCCACTTCCTTTAGCATCTCTCTTTAGGAGCCCAGTGAGCATTGTAGTTAATGTGGTTTAGTAGAAAGTTGGGTAGGGTTCTGATCCCAACTTGGCCACTTACCAGTGGTATGATCTTGAGCATTTTCATCTCTCTAGATCTCAATTTCCTCATTGGAGTTAGTTGGACTGGATGACTAGCCTAGTCTAATCTTTAACTCTTAGATCCCTTCTAGTTTTAAGATTGTGGAATTCTTTGTTACAGAGTAGAGAAAAAAAATTGAGTAACTACTACATGATAAGTAATAAACATAACCTTTTGTTAAAGTTGTTCTCTTCCTTTTACCAAGAAATTAGTATTTTTGAGATGAAGGAATATCATCACTCCATGCAGATTGCATTTTCTTCTGTAATCTTTGGATCTCTTAAAGGGCTGTGTCATCTTTATGTCGTTATGGACAGATAGAAAACAAAGGCTACCTTCAAGGATATGCTTGATTTATTGGGAGTGTTTAGAAAAAAATATACTCAAATTGTGCCAGGAAACTTGAAAACTGCCTTTGGAATGAGTTGTCAAATAAGCATCACAACTCAAAATGAAAAATATGGTTTAAAATTTTCAAGAAAAAAACTATACATCAAAGTTTGAGGGGAAAAACAAAAAGATCAAATGGCTTGAGGTTCTTTCAGTTTGTTCTTTTTTAAGTTTTACATGATATGCTTGCATTTTAAGTTTCTTAACATTATTTTTGTTTGTTTTTTATGGTTTTAATGTGTCTTCCCACCCTCTCATTAACTTGTGAATGTTTAACCACTGATTTCACCAAATCTAATCCGTAAGTACTGTTTGGTCATGTGTTTGTTTCCCTAAAAACAATTTCCCCAGAATTTGGGATATCAATTTATATACTTTTGCATACAGTAATATCTCTCCTTGCACTTAATTTAAAACACAAATGACACAATTTAAATTTAAGAAGTTTAAATAATATCTCATTATTTACAACAAAGAAATAGCATTTGTGTCTCTCTATTAAAATGACTTTAAATCTGAAGGCTTTATCTCTAACTTGATATAGATTAATCAAGAAAAATGTGGTTTATCAGAAATTATATTGACCTAGAAATCCAGAGGTGTCTCCTAGACTTGGCTTGGCTCTGTCATTGATTAGATGTATGATTTTTGAGTCACTTAACCTCTCTTAACCTGTTTGTTCCTGTATAAAAATTAGAGTCGGACTAGATGATCTTCCAGGTCCCTTTCTCATTCTAAAATTCTATTATTTGAAAAGCCTATTTTTAAAACAAATTAGTATTACACTAGGTCCAATTTACCTATAAACACCTTAGAAAAGGCAGAGTTAAGGTTCAGCATACTGAATTACTTAGCTTTATAATGTGTGTCCTTTTAATCTCTGATTTGTAACATGCACCTGGAGTTAGATGTAGACCTAACTCTTGCTTACAGCTAAGTATAACACAGAGAAAAGAAATGTGAACAGAATAATTTTATCCACTTTGGCCTTTAAAATTGAATGATTCATTTGTATGTACCAAATTTTGAATGAAAATGGTTAATAGATATGGCAGACACATATTACATTGCTAAATACAATTTCCTACAAACCAACAACTGATTCCCCCATTTCTTTTTGGGGTTTCCCCCCACTGGGGCTTAAGAAAGCATGTTCCGTGAATATAATAATTTAAAATGAATGCAACTGCACTAATCCATTTTCAGTTTCTTATCCAAGGGTCCAAAGCAAACAAGCATGCTGATGATTTCCTTAACTCTCAGTGAGTCAAAAGTCTGCTTGATGTGTCTCCCTTATCCCCTTTTATCACTAATCCCTCTAACATGAAACTGTTCTAATTAAATATAGGGTGAGACCGAGCCCCTGAACTTGACACTAGAAATAAGAAAAAATAATCTAGTTGATTCTGGTGTCCCCTAAGTGGCAATGAAAATGCAGCTGATTCTAACGGTAATTGGACTCATGTAGAGGACCAGAGACTCCATTGCTGTGAGATTATACCACAAGTGCTTTAAATCAATAGCTAAGTTCCCCCTGGTTACCCTCTAGATCCAGCTGCCTTGGCAGCACAGAGCAAGTCTTCAGACGATATCATCAAGTCCTCCAAGTTCCCAGCAGCCCATGCTCCAGACCCCAACGAGATACCAAAGATTGAGATGGACCACTGGCCCGGTCCCCCCTCACTTGCTGCCGTAGGTATGCAAATGAAGCAACTAAGTCAAATGAACACAGTTCTAATGGTTCTAGTAATTCATACTAGTGTATGAGAAAATTTAGCATGTTGGAAAAATTTTTAAGGAAAATGCCAAAAAAGAAATTAAAGGACAGAAATAGAGACCAATGTGGTATTAATTTAGATGTCAAGGATTTGAAATTTCTCTTTCTAGATGTACTAGAATCTGTTATAATTTAGTCTATTACAGCTCAGAATTTGGTAAGAAGTTTATCCACATTGGATCCTATATCTAAAGAGTTTCTTACTGGAACTACTAGAAAGATTTCACTATATTATCTCACCTATGACATAGCCCCAGATAACAATATGCATTGTTGTTGCATATAACTCTTGCTTAGAAAGATTGGCTGAGCTCTTTCATAAGTGACTTCTTCCTGTATAAATTGTCTCCCAGTGTTTTGCTTTTTCATCTTAGCACCCAAGCATTGTTCCATTTTTGGAATAGACCCTTTTCTGTAGAACCAGGAAAGACCACAGTTCATTGATGTTCAGGAAGCATCCCAATACAAGTAATGTTGGTTGCATGTCTTCACCTGCATCATTGTCACCAATTCCATACTTTTTTCATCCATGGGGTTGCCCTTTAGCTGTTCCATTCATTGTATCTGAATTTAGTCAAAATATGTTTGTATCTGTACCTTTGTGTCTACACAGTTGGCTTAATGAGGTGCTAACAAACTGAAAGGCCTAGTATTCAGAATCGGGGTGTCAGCTATGACAATGTGTGACTTAAATTTCCCTTTTCAAATTTCTGTAGTCATCCATTGCACAGGGTGCTGGATTTAGAGAAAAGAAGATCTGGGTTCAAATTCTTCCTCAAATGCCTGGAGATGACTCCAGGCAAATCACTCTAAGCCTGTTTTCTCATCTGTAAAATATAGATAGTAGTAGCATCTGCTTCATAGGGTTCTGGTGAGGTTCAAATAAAACAATATATGTAAAACTTTGCAAACCTTAAAGCATCACTTAAATGTGTTGTTATTATCATCATCATCATTATCATCATCATCCAAAGCTTTCAATTGTCCATTACGAAGGTATCTAATTTTCATCATCATATTCTTTTTTACTTTTATGAGACATCTTTTAAAAAGATAGTGCATGATTGTTATTTAAATGTGTAAGAATGATTGAGGAGACAACATAGTGCAGTGGAGAATGCACTGATCTGCAGTCAAAGGGAAATCTACTTGACCAATTCTTCATTGCTTCCATACATCCATGATTTTATCAGTATTGGTACTCCCCAGGGTAAAACCTGCCTTCCCAACTTATTTGAAAGTCTTCATAAGATGTAATAGACAAAAAACTTCATCACCCAGAGGCCACCATTCTGGTGATGATGCTGTTTGAGCCCAAATCAGGAGGATATGGGCTAATCCGTAGATGACCTACCCTATTTTACAGCCTTCCTACTCAATACCCATCCAATTTCTAGGACTTCCAAAGTTTGTGATCTGCTGACCTGGCCTTTGAGAATCCAGTGGCATCTCCTACCATGAGGAGGCTAGTAAAAAATAAATAAACACTCCTTTTATATTGTCCAAAGGTGTCCTGTAAAATTGACCTATAATCTCACTGTATCTTTAGATTTTTATCTCTTTAGTGTATTTAGTGTATTTAGTGCAAAACCCACCTCAGTGCTAGGCATGCTTAATGGACAGTCAAGGCTAGTCTTTAACTTTTTCTAACAAATCATAAGCTTCAGGAAATATCCTTGAAGTTTATCATGCTGACTCTCAACTAGCTAAATGTCCCAAGAAAGAAATTTTTTAAAAAATTTAGAGAGTAGAAGACATTAATAGAAAGTGATTAAAAGCTTTTAATTCATTAACCAGAGTATAAAGAAGTAAGAGTATTCATTAGTCAAAGTTTATTTTGATTAAATAACTAGGATCTCCTGTTTGCTTGCACAGATTCATCCAATGAGTTCAGGAAAACTTAACCCAGCCTTCTAACCACTCAGAGAAATTCACTCCTAGGAGACTAGGAAAACTGAACACGACATGCCACACTTGATATGGAAGTGGATGCATAATTTTGTGGCCCTCACACAGACTAGAATTTTATTTTCAGTTACAGGGAAGCTCATTTATGACCATTTTTCAAAGGGCCAAGAAAAAGAAAGTGTTAATAGTGGAGAAATACCATAAGTTACCTTTGCAAGTCAGGACTTTCCAAAAACAAAAATTTAGACAATGTAATGAGAATAAGTTTTATGTAATGTATATTATGAGTGAATACATTCAGGAAGAGAGAAGTATTTCAGACTATTAAATTTTTTTTCCTCTAGAGAAATGCTTTCATTCCCTAAGCAGTGCTTGAATCCCTAATACATAGATCAAATATTGGTTTATGATGGTTGACAATATGGATTCCTAAACAGAAACTCCCTATAGTTGACTTAAAGTGTGTCTGCTTAGAACCTTCTGACAACAAGAACAAACCAAATTCCACTCATATATATCACTTGGTAGGAGACCAGAATCTCTAATCTTCTGGCATAATAGTTGTACTCACATAGCAAATTGAATGAAAGCCCAATAAAAAATAGTTAGGCACTTGTCTGCAGTACTGAATGTAAATAAATGATTTTTTTGAAATGTGGTAACTTAGTTCAATTGCATGTGTACGTTGGAGGTGGCCAGGGCACCTTAGAGAGAGTGGATTTTTCCCTGACTGGTTTAGGAATGTTATTTAAAGAACACTACCGGCTTGGTCACTATTACTAATGTAGCGAAGATAAGCAGACTAGTCCTTTAGGATTCTTTCTTGTGGCGGGGCTTTTGTAAGAAGTTCTCTTTACTATGGAAATAGGAACAGATATGAGGCGCAGATCAAGTGGTCGTGAGGAAGATGAGGAGGAGCTTCAGAGACGCCGCCAGCTTCAAGAAGAGCAGCTATTGAAGGTTTGTCATCTGACAGGCCGCTTTATTGCTTTCGTTAAATCCTTTCAGAAATGTCCTGAGAAATAACTACAATTCAGTAGAAAACACCTTCAAGTTTTATTCATATTTATTTTTCCATTCCATACAAATAGCTCAACTCAGGTCTGGGGCAATTGATACTGAAGGAAGAGATGGAAAAGGAGACCCGGGAAAGGACTTCCCTTCCAGCCAGTCGCTATGATTCACCACTTAACACATGTGAGTAGCACTTCCATGGACTTCCATAGATTAGACTTTGGGTCCATATGAATGTATCTTATCTTTCATCTAATACAACATAACCTTACCATTTGATAAACCAGTAGCTGCTCTGGGACAGAAAGGTGTAGACTACATGATTTCTCTCTCCCTGGTTAGGACCAATCATCTGAGTCCTGCAATGACTTTGCTTTTCAACAGCTGTTCTGTTCTTTCATCTATTTCCTTATGTTTGTACTCCCAACCAATTCTCATGTTCAGTGTTCTTTCCCTCCTTGCTTTTCAAGGCTAAGCTGATTTCTAGGTGAGCCCTAGTGACCTGTTTAATTTGACAGGTGATATCACCAAGGCAGACATAATCCGCATTACATTCAAGAAAATCACCAGAATGGCAGAGAGTTTGGGTCTTTAATGGGAGCAAACTGGAATCAAGAAATCCTCAGAAATCAGAAGCTACCTCAGGCAGATGTAGGGGAAATTTCATGAAGAAAAAATGTTGCTCTCTTTTTTTACCTTCTCTCTCCTTTACTCTCTCATTCATGTGTTAACTGCTTTCCCAAAAATCCAGCCATGATTACTCTCATTATTACTCTCATTACATTATTATTACTCTTTATTACATTATTATTATAATTATATTATTATTACATTATTTTAACTCTCATGATTACTTACATTCACTCTCCTACTCTGGAAGCCAGACAAAACTGAAAGTTGGTAATGGCATCCTGTATTTGCTCTTTTCCTACTATTTGAATAGATGGTTTTTTTATTCTGGAATGCAGATTTCTTTCAGAATTCTTAATGTATGTAAGAACTGTTTGTATCTACGTATATCTACACACACACACACACTACACACTACACAAGATGTACCAAAAGTCTTCATGCATTTTAAGCTATTAATGCTTAATAATTTTCTCATTTTTTTATGATAGTATTTATTATTGTTAGCTGTGGCCTCCTACTAGATACTTTCTACTCCCTTGTCTTTTGAGGAATCACATTGGTTTTCCCCCTACTTCTATAACTTTTCCTTTCTGCAATTGCAGGCTCGTTCTTCTTTTCATGAGTCCTCATAGTAGGTGTTTCTGAAGAGATTGCCCTGGGTCATCTTGTCTCTACATTTTTACATTCTCTGCCTTGGCAATCTCATCTGGTTCCCAGGCTTCAACTCCCACTGCTAATGTAAAGAACATGTGTGAGATACATATTTACAAATACAAGATCTAGCATTATTTGCAATGCAGAATTCCTAAAAACTTAGCCATCATAAATAGGACTAAAACAAGGATGCCCGCTTTACTTGCTGTTATTCAACAGTTATAGAAAAATATTAGAGAAATATTCAAAGAGAAGACAAAATCATTCCTATTTGCTGGTGATGTAGTGCTATACTTAGAAAACCCCCAAAATTCAGAAAAAAATGAAACAATCCTTAGCTTTAGTATACAAAATAAATCAACATAAATCATTGATGTATTTTTCTATATATAGGTTACTTGTACATATTTGTTTGCTTGTCCTCCCCTTCTCCATTAGATTGTGAGCTCCTTTGGGCAGGGACTTTTTGCCTCTCCAACACTTAGTGCATTGCCACACAGGTGCTTAATAAATGTTTGTTGACTGACTACTGACAAAAATAAAAAAGAAACAACAATTAAAGAAATTCTGTTCAGAATAACTACAAAATGGGGGCAACTAGGTGGCACAGTGGATAGAGCACTGGCCCTGAATTCAGGAGGACCTCAGTTCAAAACCCAGCCTCAGACACATAACACTTACCAGCTGTGTGACCCTGGGCAAGTCACTTAACCCCCATTACCCAACCCCCCCAAAAAAAAAGAATAACTACAAAATGCGTAAAATGTCTTGCTGTGCCAAATTTCCAAGAGGATATTTCATGCATTATCCTCAACTCCTTACTCTCTCACTTCCTATTTCTAATATGTTACCAAGGCCTGTTAATTTTACCTTCATAACATCTCTCACCTATGCTCCTTTTTCTCTTTTGACATTGCTGCTGCCCAGGTGCAGGCCACTCCAACTCACACCTGGACTATTACAATTGCCTGCTGGCTGGTCTTTTTGCCACAAGCCTCTCCCTGTTCCATTCCATCCTCTACTTAGCTGTCAAAGTGATCTTCCTAAAGCACATATCTGAACATGTTACCCCCCCCAATACCCAATAAACTCCACTGTCTCCCTTTTTCCTCCAGGATCATGTATAAAATCCTCTGCCTGGCATTCAAAGCCCTTCATAATCTACCCTATCCCGCACCTTTCCAGTTTTCTTATACTTTACACCTCCCAACATAATATGCAATCCAGTGACACTGGCTTTCTTGCTGACTCCCTGCCTGGAATGCTCTCTCTCCTCATTTCTTCCTCCTGTATTCTCTGGCTTCCCTCGAGCCCCAGCTAATATCCCATCTTCTATAGAAAGTCTATCCTGATCTCTCCCTTCTATTGCCTTTCCTCTACTGAGTATGTCCAATTTGTTCTCTATATAGCTTGTCTACACATTATTGTTTATATGCTGTCTCTACCATTTGACTGCAAGTTCTTTCAGAGCAGGGACCATCTTTTGTCTTTCTTTGTTACCCCTAGTGCTTAGCCAGTGCTTGGCACATAGTAGGCACTTAACAAATATTTATTGACTGACTGACTGCTGTGGATAGTGTTGAACTTGGAATCAGGAAAACCTGAGTTCAAATTCCACCTCAGATACTTAATAACTGTGTGACTCCAGACAAGTAACTTAACCTCTTTCAGACTCATTTTCCTCATATGTAAAATGAGGATAATAATGGCACCTATATCTCACCCTTGTGAGGAGCAAATGAAATAACATATCTAAAGCACTTGGCAACCGTTAAATTATTATATAACTGCTAGCAATTTAATATTGTTGTTGTTGTTGTTATTATTATTTCCATTATTACGGAACTAGTCAAAACAATAAATTCATTTGGGCAAGCAAATGGTAGTGAATCTCAAGGGAATAAAGAGAAAGGAACAAATGAAGGGCATAGCTTTAACAGACTTTAAAATAAAAGGCAATGCTTTTGGTACTAGTTTAGAAAAACAAACAGAAAAGTTTACAAGTAGAACAGACTAGATAAGCAAGAAAGAAGTCATTCAAAACAGAAAGTCAGTGTTTGATGAACCCAACCTGTCTTTCCAGCCTTATCTACTATAACTGCCCTCCATTGACTGGACAAATCCAGTCAAACCAGATTATTTTAGTCCCTTAAACCAGTCCTGCATTTTTCTTTTCCAGGCTTTCCTTGTGCCATTCCTTGACCTTAGAATACTTTTATCCCTGTTATGTTTAATCTTTTTAGATTAAGTCCATAGTTTGAAACTGTTGAAATCCTTTTGGATCCCAACTGTGCCATCCACTGGATGACCTAATCCCCTCCTAGCTTTGTGCCATCTGCAGATCTGATAAGCATGTTATCTATGCCTTTATACAAGTCATTCATAGATTTGTTAAACCTCACAAGGCCAGAGTTCCCTTGAACATTCCTACCTCTTTATTTAAGGGGTAAGGATTCAGAGAGGTTAGGTGATCAGTCTCAGTTCACAAAGCTAATAAATAGCAACTCATGGATTCAAACCCAGATCTTCTGATTACTGGTTTAGTCAATATTTTTTACCTTGCCTGAGTGCATCTATGGATCTGTTATCTCTTTATCATGAGTACTCACTATGATCATACAAATCACAAATCCTCGACATCTTATTCCATGTACTTTTTCTCCATCTCTTTCCATAAAGCCTCCAGACTATTTACCCAATGTACTAGAGATGGTCTAATTCTTTGAAAGTTTTGTGTATACCAGGGCAACCTTAGTGCTCTCTGCCCCAATCTGTCTTTATTCTAGTGTCTTCCCTCTATTAATTATTTCCTATTTATCTCATGCATATAGCTTGTTGTATATAGTTATCTACATGCAGCCTCTCCCCGTGAGCTCTTCTAGGGTAGGGACTATTTTTTATCTTTCTTTGTATCCCCAGCACTTAGCACAGTGCCTAGCATATAGCAGACACTTATTGACTGACTGATAGACTTTCCATCTCTCACTTTTGCTATATGACTATCCTACCTTCTTTTTTACTTTTCTGACTTTTCTCACACATCATAATTGGGAACCTGCTACGGTCTATTTACACTCACAGTGGGAATTTCTGTTGCCCTTTATGGTCCATGTAATTATAAAGATTTTGATGTTCTTTGGATCACAGCCTTTATAACATAAACATGTCAGTGTCATATTGAGGTTTAAAAAAGAAGATGAAATCTTATAGCAAGGGGTAGCTTGGGTATTATTGAAAGAGCTAGGGGCAGCTAGGTGGCACAGTGGATAGAGCACCAGCCCTGGAGTCAAGAGAACCTGAGTTCAAATGCAGCCTCAGACACATAACACTCACTAGCTGTGTGACTCTGGGCAAGTCACTTAACCCCAATTGCTTCACATTAAAAAAAAAAAAGAACTTCACATTTTTCCAAATACCATCCAGTCTAATATCCTCCTCCAATTCAATCCTGGGCCCCAGTCCATTATCCAGCTGTAATCCTGTTCAGAATATATTTAATAGGGGCAGCTAGGTGGTGCAGTGGATAGAGTACTGGCCCTGAAGTCAGGAGGACCTGAGTTCAAATGTGACCTCAGATAAAACACTTGAATACTTGACCCTTACTAGCTGTGTGACCCTGGGCAAGTCACTTAACCCCAATTGCCTAACCAAAAAAAAAAAGGATATATTTACTGATATACTATCTCAATGGTTAAAAAAAATGCACTTTTTAAAAATCTACTATCATGCAACTCTAGAGGCATAACTACCTGTATTTTTGATAAAGCAGCCACCTTCCTGGGAGGTGGAAAGGATGGTGGCAATCACCATACTGAAAAAAGCCATGTGTTGCCAACATAGCCCATAAAAAAGAGAGTGATGCAATAAACATTTTCCATTATATCAGTATGGGGATCACAGAATCTGTGATTTCACCAGCATGCTAACGCCTTTCACCAATAAAGATAAGTATTAGGGAGTTGGTTACCAGAGCATCAGAGAGATTAAATGACTTGCCAGCAATCACACAGTAGCAGTGGCAGGATTTGATCCCAGGTTTTGCTAATTCCAGATCCAGGACTCTATGTACTGCACCACTCTGCCTTTCCATTGTTCATTCATTCAGCAAACTTTTAGTAAGGGCCTGCTGCATGCAGAGCATCACATATATAGTACCATAGGAGGGAGTCTTGTCCCCTGCCTTCATGGAGCTTACAAACTAAGAGAATAAGACATCAGCACAGATAACTAAATGAACAAAATCTCACAATCGGCCCATTGAAGAGTTGTGAAGCACAATTTTAATACAGTTTGAAACAGTCAGTATGCCCATTATGGTGTCAGACGTGTTCTCTCTTAGTTCAATAAGTAAATTTCTCCATGAGGATTAGCATCTTTATATCTCAGATGTGCTTAAAACTGCACTCCCTCCAGAGCTTGATTAGCACTACTCTTATTTTATTTTATTTAGTATTTTCCCCAATTACATGTAGAAACAATTAATATTCAATTTAAAAAAATTTTAGTTCCAAATTCTCTCCTCTTCCTTCTTCCTCCTCCCCCCGAATTGAGAAGGCAAGGCAATTTGATGTAGGTTATATACATGCAGTCATGCAAAACATATTTCCATGTTAGTCATGTTAGTACCATTCTTGAATTGGACACCAGAATCCCTGGGTAATAAAACAGAACATCTTTGAAAATGAAAGAAACCTCAGAGCCCAGGGGTTCTTTCCCCTTTTGTGTCACGGACTCCTTTGAGTTTGGTAAAGCCTATGGACCCCTTCTCAACATAAAATAAAATTAATGTGATTACAAAAGAAACCAATTATTGAAATAGTTATCAAAATATTTTATGTCCTTTTTTAAGGCTCAGGTTAAGAGCTTCTGATCTACTCCCATCTATCTTTTTTTTTCTTTTTCTTTTTGTGTGTGTGTGAGGCAATTAGGGTTAAGTGACTTGCCTAGGATCACACAGCTAGTAAGTATCGTGTGTCTGAAGCTGGATTTGAACTCAAGTCCTCCTGAATCCAGGGCCAGTGCTCTATCTACTGGGCCACCTAGCTGTCCCTACTCGCATCTATCATAGTAAAAATAATAAAGCACTCGTGCTTTTATATGTCACTTTCCCTTAAATTTTTGCTCTTTCAGTGCATCAACTGACAACTCTGTCTGGAAGTGTCTCACAATTGACCTTTGCAGTCAGACTATTTTGTAGACAATTGTAGTCTATAGGAATTCAATTATGTCTCTGTCCTAAGAAGAAAAGCACATTTTTTTCGAATTCTGTCATCTTTTATACGTGTTTCTCTGAATGTTGAATTATTTGTTATTAACTTTTGGCAAATAAGTGATGACTGTTCTCATAAATGAATGAATGAGCAAATGAATATGCTTTAGATTAGAGCTTCCCAAGTGGCGCGTCATGATTGACCCATAGTACTTGATGACTGATGAGATGGATGTGCAAGCAACTTGAAAGGAATGCTTATAGGAAGGGTAGTTTAGCCAAGAGTCCTGTTCCTCCAGTGAGGTGTGAGTACCTCTATTCCTCCTGTTCAGACATTTCACTGTTATCACTCTCCATGTATTAAACAAATAGAGTTCTGTTTGGTTGGTGATTGGTCCAAATGTCATTTATTTCCATGCTCAGAAATAGTTGTTTGAAACTTTCAAGATTTTTTTTACATGAAAAATTTTCAATTTTCCAAAATTTTCTTGTTTTTTTTTCCCTCCTATTTAGCTCCACATGCTTCATCTAAAACCTCCTCCCTCCCTGGTTATGGAAGAAATGGTCTTCACCGGGTAAGTAAGGTTTCTCTAGTTTTCTAGAGATAACTTTAATATTCCATGTCTTAAAGGTTGATAATCAGTTCGGTTCAATTCAACAATCATTAATTTAGCACCTACTATGGGAAACACTCTCTAATAGGTCCTGGGGAGACAAAGATAAAACAAATCCATCTTACCCTTCTTAAATTTTAGTTAAAATTGTTATGTAGTGTTATTTGAATGCATGTTAACTCTGTGAATGGTGGCAAATAATTTTAAAATTTTATTAATATCTTTTTTTTTATACTACTTTCCTATATATACCAATATATACACATTGAATCTTCCCTTGTGACAACAAAAAAAAGCAAAACCACTTGACAGTGTGACTGCATCTGACAGTGTATGCAACGTTCCACACCTCTGGTCCCTGCCTCCAAACTAAGAGTAGGGAGTTGGCTTGAATCATCTGTCCTCCCGAATGATGAAACTGGTCATTACCATTCATTGTTGTTCAGCTCCCTTTTTTAGGATGGCTTTCATTTTCATTGTTAAAACCATTACATAAAGTGATTTTTAAACTTCTATCATAGTGAATGCCTAGTATATCTACTTTGAATCTAAGACCTGGAGAAATCTCATTACTGAGAAAAGAAAAGAAAATGACATTAGACTTCCACAAGGAGTTCTTTGTAAAGAGAAGAGATCAAACATTCCTCTTGCAAATGTTGTTATAATTAGGAAGCAAGCACTGAACAAAGAAATAAAAAATTGTGTTATTACATTCTCCTGACATAACAAAGCATAGATGTTAAACAGTTGCAATTGTGAAACTAAGTAGAAAAATGTATTTTTCCTTGTGACCAAGAGCTGCTCATCTATGAAACCTCTTAACAGCATAGTTAAATCACTTATTGTAATTAATAACATTTCAAAGTGTTGGGAGAGTAAGACAATTAGAAAAATGAAGATGATCACATCTTTGTTTGTGAAATATTCTTCTTCTTCTTCTTCTTCTTTTTTTGGCTAGGCACTGGGGTTAAGTGACTTGCCCAGGGTCACACAGCTAGTAAGTGTCAAGTGTCTGAGACTGGATTTGAACTTAGGTCCTCCTGACTCCGGGGCTGGTGCTCTATTCACTGTTCCACCTAGATGCCCCAAGATATTCTTTTGAATTCAATATCTCTTCCCTCTTTTCACCCCTTTCTCTGAAATGTTACTATGACGTATTGTCTCACATATGCATTTCTCCCTTTTGCAGCCAGTTTCTACAGATTTTGCCCAATATAATAGCTATGGTGATGTCAGTGGTGGGGTTCGAGGTAAGCCTTCCTACATCAGCATATTCTGGTGTCTATGAATAGCTGTCATTCATGCTTTTTTCCCATGGGGAATAATGATTGGAATATAAAATTCTATTATGGAGAATTTGTTTGTTCTATAAATAGACAGTACAGCATAGTATATAGTGAACTGGTCAGGAAGACTTAGGTTCAAGTCTTACTTCTGACATACACTATGAGACCCTGGACTGGTTTGTGAACTTCTGAAGTACTCACACACCTCTCTAAGGCTATAAGTTGCAGATCAAGTGCTATCTACATTGGTAAAGGGAGATTTCTCCTCAGGAATTTTCCATATGAATGAAATCATAGGACAAGTTCCAAAAATATTTTTATACATATACATAATACATATGTATATATGTAACCATGTATGTCTTATGTATTACAAAACAAAATTTATATATGTAATAAGTTGATTGAGAGAGAAAAATAAACATTACTTTGGATTTGGTTGGGTGAATTTTTTACCATTATTTTCTTTAGTTTGGTTTTGAAATAATACTCATGATGTGTATGTATTGAGGTGTTTTCTACTTATGGAGGATTATAAAATCAAGAATTAGCATAGTGGTAATAACATATGTATCTCTTTGTGAGCTAGTAAAGTTAACACTGAAGAAATCCCAGAGAAATGTTAACAGTATCAGGTGATGAAAACAAATTTGTTGAAATTTAGATTAAAATATGTTCTTTCTGTTGATCAGTTCACATTTTTATGTTCTTATTCTGATGATATTTTCTTTTCTTTTCCAGATTTCCAGGTATAGAGTGATTTTTTTTCTTCCACTGTGACAACCTAAATGCACCAGCCATCCTCCTATCCAATTGTGAAATGGTCCTTCATGGAATAGTTCTTGTTAATGAGATGTTATTTTCTGTTTATCTGCATATTTGAGCCTAATATTCAGTCTGTATTGGCAAAAGGTAGTTGTATCTAGTACTATAGGGTGTCTTGGTAATAAGTCCCATATCAAACAAAATGAAGTAAGGCTTACATTTCTCTTCCTTTGGAAAGGCCCCTCAAATGCTAAATTGTGCCATCAATGAGTATCCACCCCTGTACGTTTTTCTTTTTTTTTCTTTTTTTTTTTAAGGCAATTGGGGTTAAGTGACTTGCCCAGGGTCACACAGCTAGTAAATGTCAAGCGTTGGGTCTGAGGCTGGATTTGAACTCAGGTCCTCCTGACTTCAGGGCCAGTGCCCTATCCACTGCGCCACCTAGCTGCCCCCCCCAATCTTTCTTTTAATGATAATACTTGACATCTGAGCCTGGGATTGTTGTGCCTTCTCTCCATTGCCAGGTCCCAACAAAAAAGAAGTTCAGAAGGGGCTCCCTTTTTTTGTATTCTGTGACCCCTGTTATCCTATAAGTTTCCAGCCTTTCTCTATTCACATCTATCTATAAACCTAGAAATAACTCATTCTTTAGCCCACAAAAGAAACCCTTGAATGGTACCATCCAGGAGCAGGTTGCTCTCATGACACTGCTTATTCTCAAAGCCCAAACCTTCTAAAATGGAGATGAGATACAAATAGACAAAATGGAAGAGAATGTGACATCAGAATCATAGGTCAAGTTGTCCTCGTGTTGTGCTGGTAGCATGATTTGTTATCCTATGTAGAATACAAGGCAGCAGTTACCCAGTTCTACTGCTAGCTACATGTGTGCCTTTGAGCCGTCCATTTCCCCCCTTCTCCGGATCTCAGTTTCTTCCTCTTTTAAATTAGGGGATTGGATGAGATGTTTTCTGAGGTCCCTCCCAATCCTAGTATTCTGCTCTTTGATGATTCTATGTGAATGGGCAACATTGTATGATACAGCACTGGACTTGGAGTCAGGAAGATCTGATTAAAATTCCACTATAGATACTTATTAACTATATGTCCTTAGGCAAGTCACTTAACTACTTTCAGCCTCAGTTTTCTAATTTGTAAAACTAGGGAGTTGAACTCAATGACCTCAGATATCTCTTCCAGCTCTAACTATATGGTCATATGAGATCTGAATTAACAGGTTTAATACTTTGCATTAATAAATGTTTGTTGATTGACAGGAGGTTGATCGGGGTGTGATTCTCATGGAAGCATGAGATGGTTTCTAGCTCCTCCTATAGGTAATTTAGAGCATGTCAATACTTTTTTTTTTTTTTTTGGTGAGGCAATCAGGGTTAAGTGACTTGCCCAGGGTCACTCAGCTATCAAGTGTCTGAGGCTAGATTTGAACTCAGGTACTCCTGACTCCAGACCCAGTGCTCTGTTCACTGCACCACCTAGCTGCCCAGGTCAATACATTTTTAAGAAAGGGAATTAGACGCTATTCCTTGAAAGTAGATACCTTTCCTTAAAGACAGGATCTTTGGAATACTGTTGGTTGGTATAGAAGCAGAAAAAATGGAAGAGACATACCCATAGTCACTTTTTTTTTAATGGCAGCTGAGATTTTATTTGTGTAAACTGGCAGTGATTTTCAGAGTGAGAGAGGGAATTGTAGAGGTAAAACTGTCTATTTTCACCATGCCTTGCATACATTTCCTACTATGTGTATCATCTTATGCCTCTGTGTCTGATATAGACCCTCCCTGATGGTCATGTACCTGGAATGAGAATGGACAGAGGAGTGTCCATGCCTAACATGTTGGAGCCAAAGGTAAGTGTAGATGTCACAGACTATCCTGTGAGACAATGACAGTTTGGTTGTCTGGGAAAGGCAGATTTAGCCTTAAAATAAAAATTTACAACTCCAGTATTCTAATCCTCTTCCTGTTTGCCATGCACAAAATCAACTCTGTACCTCACTTTGCTGAAGAATGGGTTTGACCCCCAAATCATATTATACTAGGTTTTAAGTCCCTTGGCAGTAAGGGCCATGTCTTATCTATCTTTGAGCACTCTGCCACACATAGTAGTCACTTAATAATTGTCATGAATTTTTGAAATAAATCAGTGGAAATGTACTACACTATTTACAGATTTGGTTCTACCTAGTGAACAATTTTAAGCACTTGCCAGATGCTTCTAGGGAATCCCCTGGACTGTATGTTATAAGGTAGCACTGCCACCGCCTAAAAGACCACATTTATTTGGTAAATGATTGGCTGACCCTTTCATCTGCATCAGTGGAAGAAGCAAACAATCCTTTTTATGTAAAGCTCTGTGTGATAAAACGAGACATCTGACTTTAAGTAACAGTAGTTACTTAAACTACTAAACTACTAAAATGTTACTTTGAAATACCAGTATGGCAAACATCGTATCTCTGGCCTAGGGCAAGGAGAAACAGTATCTAGGAAATTCCATCTTTGAGAGAACCCTGTTTCAGGCAAAGCTAAGAGTAATTACAGGTTCCCCGAAAACAAACACTGTTTTCCAGAGTGGCAAAAACTCGTGATACAGAAAAAAAATTGTGTCACTTTTGTCTGTTTGGTTTTTTTGCCCCTCCTGCCACAACTCTATCACTAGTACAAGAGAGGAGAGCTATTTTTAAGAAGATAGGAATCACAATAAATGTGGTGAAATGTTTGTTTTGGATTGGCGTACTTAGAAAGTCTTTATAGTTCAGTCCATGGCACATAATAAGCACTTAAGTGCTTGCTGATTGACTCACTGAATCATCTATTCCTTCTAAAAGATTCGTTCACAAAGTTAATCCCCCCCAGATGAAAAGCAAAAGTCAAGTACTGAGGCATTGCTCCTACCCTTATGTGCATTTCCAGATTCAGATATAATATCTGAATTTTTTCCATTTTTTTCTGCACTGTTGAATTTTGCCTTGATCTTCCTTCACTGGAGTTGTGACCAGGTACTCACAAGCCATTCCAAATATTCTAAGCTTATAGTGCAGTTAAAATGAAGGCTCAGACCCACACAAAAGAAAGTCATTTTCAATTTTTCAGGTATCTACTTCTGTATATGACCTAACACATCTTCTTACTGAAGAGAGAAACGGAAAGTTAGACTAAGATGCTTTATCTGATTCAGAAGTTTTAAAAGCGATAAAACTAATTGGCATTAAGCCTTGTCACTTACCTTTAAGTCCATTTCCAAAATTTCTGAAGCTAGCTAGTAAGTAAGTAACAGTACAGTGAAGTTGTACTGCTCTGTTCCACTTGGATGAGGAAGAAAGTTATTCCAGGATATTCATGTGAAATCGATTATGTCTGCAAACCAAACCAAAAAAAAATTTGTTACCACTAATAGTAGAAAAGGACCCTTCTTGGGTTAAAAATAAGGGCATACTGTTTGGATAACGGAGAAGGGAGCCTTTTGCAGCAAAAATTTAAACTTCTTTTTTCTTAACGCAACTATTAACAGATTTTCCCATATGAAATGCTCATGGTGACCAACAGAGGGCGGAACAAAATACTCAGAGATGTAGACAGAACCAGGCTTGAGGTAACTACTACCTGTAACTACTACCCTTTTATTTTTTCCCCCTTCCTACCCTTCTTCTTCTCCTCCCCCACCCAGTTCTCATCCTAAAAAACTTCTTAACTGTTTAGCAAAAAAGAAAAAAAATAGTACCTTAGAATTTGCAGGTGATTCTGAGTTAACTTGGAAGAAAACTCCAATGCATGTAAGAGATTTACATGGAAAGTGCCTACTGAAACTTCACAGAGAACTCTCCTGACAACTAGTTATGTCCTACTGTATATGGGGCTGTAAAACCAGCCAGCCTTTGAGCTCTTTAGACCTCTTTGGGCCAACTGACTGTCACTACTGACACAAGAGTGAAGATGCAAACATAATTCTAATGCATAAAGACCAAAACAGCTAAAATATGACCCTCTAGAGGAAACTGTACAGGATGGATGATAATGATGGAGGTAAAAAACCTGTACCCTAATGCCTAATGCACTGGGGAAATGTATGTAAGTTTTTTTGTATACTTCAAAGGGATAGGGACTGGATCTGTGATTTCTTGAATACAGGGAACTCTCAGGTAAAAAAAAACCTTTTTCTACTAATTCAGGTCAGCACCTTCTCCAAAACAATTTTTAAATTATAATAATTATTTTTTTAAATTATCAAGAATTTATATTTTTCTCTCTCTCACTCAACACCCTGAGGGGAAACCTCTTTTAATAAATATGCATGAAACCTATAGTTTTACAGAGTTGCCTAGAGCACTCAGAGGTTAAATGACTTGCCCAGGATCACACAACGAGTAAGTATCAGAGGGAGAGACTTGAAGCCAGGTCATCCTGTCTTTGAGGCCAACTCTCTTTATACTATACCACCCTGCTTTTTGTAACCTTTAAAGCTGTAAAGAAATGTCAGTTCTATATTATTATTATTATTATTATTATCATTATTATTATTATTATTATTATCAGCTACTACCTAGCTGTTCCTGGTACCACAGAATGGGGTGTCTGTTCAGAAAATGGAAATTATTCAGGAGTTAGTTTGACCTGGTTATTAAAGGAAACTGTAGCTGAAAAGCAAAACTCTATAAAAATGAATGATTCTTGTTTGAAATTCAAACCCAGAAAAGAAAAATAATGTCCTCTTTTGAGAGGTGCTAAAATCTTACTTCACATACAATTGTAGTCAGATGTAGCAGTAGCAGCTCAGATGCTAAGATGAGCTCGGAATTAAAGGGTGTGGGAGGGGAGATTCTGATTGCACCCAGGGAATGTTAGGGCATGCTTCTCTACACTGTGAAAGTCCCCACATTCCATGTTAAAGTGTTATTTGAGCACACATGCCCATGGCAGCTTTTTGTATTTTTCCAAATGACTGATTTCGATCAAGAAAACCTATGTATGTTGGCAGAAAAGTTTTGCAGCTTTTCTCTGCCTGAGGGCAGCCACCTGTCTAAAGTAGAACTGTCATCCCATGAAGGTAACAGATGATCAACAGGCATTATAAAGTACCTACTTTATGCCATGTACTATACTAAGCACTAGAGATACAAGATCAAAGATTAAAACCATCCTGCTATCAGTTTAGTGAATGTGGGTACTGGCTACTCGGTGTCACAATCATCCTAAGTTTCACAAATGTCTTGCTAGCTATTTCTATGCTGAATGGACAGATAGGGGCAAAAATCACCCTTCATTACCAGACTTTTAAAGAAAACATGGTGTGAGCCAGCATCAAGGGCTAAAATAAAACTACAAATACCTCTAACATTTTGCAGGCCACTGTCGTGCTCTTTGGTGACAGAGGAGGGTTTGCCAGTCTAGTGTTCTTACATGCGCATCCAGAGCTAACCCTTGTTCATTTCTCTCTTGTCCAGCGCCATCTGGCACCTGAAGTGTTTCGAGAAATATTTGGAATGTCAATACAGGAGTTTGACAAGTTACCTCTATGGAGACGCAACGACATGAAGAAAAAAGCAAAACTCTTCTAAGACACATCTGCCCACCAATTTGAAAAGTTAATGAGGATGCTGCATAGGGTGTAGTATTATACAATGGCCACATTGATCGGAGAACTTATAAACTACTTCGCCACAGCAACAACAAAAAGGGAAAAATCTGATTGAGGCACCCGTGATCTAAGCATTGGCCCACCAACAGCAACACTTGCCAAGAAGCAATGGGGTGGAACTTTATAGGTTCCAAAACTTGACAGTAGTTTTCATGTGTGACCTTTTTACTTTATCTTCTGTACATGATTTGAGCCACTTTCTTATTTTGTTTCCCTCTAACTGTTGTCCAAAAATATGACAGACTGTATTGGTCAAGCCAGGAAGTGCCCTTAAGATGCTGAGTGGGGGGAAAAAGGTAGTTATAATAACTCCAAAAAATGATTATCTGTATTACAGTACTGTGGTTAAGAAGAAAAAAGACCTGTGTAATGTATCCATATGATAACATTATTCATATTGCACAAATGTTTCTTAATTGGCCTCATTTAAAACTGCCCATTCTATAGCTGTAGTAGAAATCAAAGAGGCAGGCACCTGAGTAAACTACTCCATTGGGCTGCTTACCAGTGGAATGATTTTAAATGTGTTCCTCACTCTCTGCTGCACACATTTGCTAGGAAGTGGTTGGTGAATTTCTGTGCGTTTGTAAACAGTATTTCTCTCTCCTCACTTTTTTTTTTTTGCTTCAGATTACTTAGCTTAAGCTTAACCTACCCAGCAAAGGCAAGTAGCAAACCTGAACCCAGCTTGCAACAAGAGAGGAGGGAAAGCTCTCCTGAAGATTGGCCTGGGTTACGTGCTCTGTGGGGACCCGTGCCACCAAGTTTCCCCAGGAAGCACACCAAGTTATAGAAAATAACACTTCATGTTGTTCTGCCAATGCAAATGTGCTAGCCTGGCATCTTCCATATAGTATGTGACACATTACACATCCTATCAAGCTGAAGGTCATTTCAACCATAGGTTAAGGAAGGATGTATTTTCTCTCTTTCATCTTTGCATTTGGGAAGCAGAGAATTTTGAATTTACTCAAATTGAAGATGAGAAAGAGGAAGTTGGCTTTCTTTTGTGCCTCATGCTGTTGACCTCATGGTTCTAGGAGAAAAATTACTGAACATAATTTTTGAATCATGTGCTTCAAAAAAAATTCATTACTGCATGAATGCTCTAGTTTTTGAAGGATATGTAATGAAATATACAGGGGGTGAGTCATTTCTGTGGAAGGATGAATTTATTCTACTCCATTCTTCTGTCCCCTGGTGAAAAATGAGATGGGATTTAAAGCCTTTTTAACTTTCTGTTGGCACATTAAGCCACTGTATAATGATGCACTGATATAATTACCCATCTCTTACTTTGAGTGACGCCCAAATTCTGGCTACAGAGCAAAGAATTAAGATAACTTTGTAACTTGACAGATCAAACCATTCCCCCTTGATGTTCAAAGTCTTGTTAACAGGAAATATGTATGTATGTACGTTTACTGAAATGGGAATCCAGGAATCCCCTTGAAACTTAAATAGAATTCAGTCAGACTAGCTGATGATCTTAGATCACCTCATACTGAACAAGAGCCATTCAGATTCAGTTCATTGCCACTGGGCTCCACTGAAACCACTGGTGCAGGAATCAAAACATAATTTTGAAGGTCCCTATAGAAGCTAAAGGAGAAAGTGTTTGAGTTGATCAGCAGGAGTGCTGTTTTTGGCAAGAGTTTAGAGATTCTACTCTACACCATTGTTGGGAATAATATTAGTTATCTGTCATGCAGCCTATGGTGGAAACAAATAGATATGTTTTCCAAATGGGCACTGTTTGTAAGGCTACAAGGGGAAATACTATGTGGGTACAACACACTTAAATGTACTAGGTGCTACAGTAGGAAGTAGAATCCATGTATAGTGGTCTTTTTATTTACTAATCTAGTTGAAGCCATCTAATTGTATTGTACCTTCAGAACCATGGAGTGAATGTTCAAGGACTGTTCTTGCATATATGTGTCTATATATGTATGTATGTATATCTTAGCTCTACTAAATCACTTAACAAACTGCTCCTGTGCTAGTCATACTGGGTTATTTTTTTTTAAATGAAAACTTCTGCCTTCATTGTTGTCCCTTGAAGTATTCAATGCTTCATTACCTACTGTGGTGAGAGTGTGTATTGCTATTCTGTCTCTGTCTCTGAACTCTCCTATGCCTGCAACCCTTGCCAAAATCTTTTTTTTTTATATTTTTCTGTCTTGTGATCTTCTCAGGCAAAGCAATCTATCCAGTGTTTTGTGCCCTTTCATAGTTCTACTAGGTTTGTTTTAATAGGAGGGATGTATTCCCAAAGTTTAGCCAGCAAAATAAATGAGAAAACCTACTTGGGTAAAATTCTAATCCTTTGTCTCTCAAATTGTTTTTCATCTAATAGAAAAAAATAGTGGCTTTCAATAACTTTATAATCTCATCAATTATAACCCAAAAATGTACTTGCAAATCAGATTATTATGCATTTAAAAAAAAGAAAAATTAGGGTACCTTTAAACTGTAGGCATAGTTAAGTAATTTGACCAAAAATCTCATTCTTTGGGCCAACGTAGGTAAGATGTCATAGAATAACAGAACGTGAGAGCTGGAAAGGACCTTAGATAACATCTAATCTAGGCTTTTTATTGTATAGGCTAGAAATTAAGATCCCTGAAAGATTACATGGCTTGTCCAATATCACACAATTTTTAGTGAAAGAACTAAGACAAGAACCCAAGTCCCCACAGACCTTGTGTTCTTCCTTCTGGATGATATTGCCATTGTATGGTGTTTTATCTTAGGCAGATCCTACATCTGGACCTAAAAAGTCATTTTGCATCTCATTCATTTGCTACTGATAATGTTGATTACAGCAGGACACCCCCCCACACACACAACATTTGAGCGCACACACACACACACACACATCCCAGAACTACCTGCCAAAGAACTCAATAGCCTTCTGTCTATAGGCAAGGTTGCCCTTTGACCTAGAGAATGAAAGACTTAGAAACCTAAACCCTCATGATAATAAAATGCATATTAAGCTAGGGATCTAGTAAGATTACTATAGGATGGGGAATGGGGCCAGTCTAGTTTATGTAACTGCCAGATCATACATGTGGACTTGTCAGTTTCATTAAAAATCAGCCTAGCATGCACACCTTCAAGACACCTAGGCCACACTATAGAATGCAGCTGGGCCCTGTTAAAAGCAAACCCTGTATTGTCTATGACACTATTTATATAATATGTAAATTAGGGGCAAATATTCATTTTACAAAAAAAAAGGTTTGACATTTGATGCATTTAATTGTCAACTTTCCTTGATTCATTTTCAAAATATTCTTAGATTTATGACCATCTGACCAACACACAACTTTTCAGGAATGCATCTATTATGCAAAGTGAAGTGTACTTTAGAAGTGAATCACTAACTAAATTGTATGGTTCAAACAAACTCAAGAAGGTTCAAAGTGAGACTTAGTCTTCCTTACCAATGGTGTCCTTTAAAACAGATTATATTGATTTGAAGAGTACTGGAAGATTGCAGCAATATATTTGTTTGTTTGTTTTTTTCGCTTGGGATTAGTTGTGAAGTGCTCTTAATATTTTTTCTGCAATGAGCTCTGTTTAATCACCTCTTCCTCAAAGCATCAAAGGAACAGCGAAATTGGCAAGTTAATAAGGGGTAAGAAGTAATTCTGTGTCCTTGATGCTCCCTGGTCACCTTCACTCAGAAGACTATATGCTTCAAGTTGGTTTTCTTCTGATACAGAAGTTGTGGCCATTCTCTTGTGACTGCTCTCACCCCTTAGGCTGGTAAGGTAGGTTATCTTTACTAGCAATTTATGGCAGATTGGCGGGTAATGTTTATAAAACCTTAATCCTATTTTGTGACACTTTGAAGCAAATACTTTTTCTAAAGAATTGCTTCTCTTGGATACAGTTAAGCTTTTGCAAGTTTGAAAAATTCAAGTCACTTTTGATTAGATAAATCTTTCTAAAACCTGTTTGAGACAACACCTTAGCATCATTTAAAATAGGAGAATGGTAGGCAACTCTTTCAGGCTGTATGCTTTTGTACACATTTTCCTTATCATCAAGAAGAATGCTGAAAGGAAAATGAGTTTCATGTCACCAACCTATCTGTGCCCTTTGTGGGAAATACATCTGGAGGAAATCCAGTTTTTACAGATTACGTACTTTTTCTCATCAGTGCTTGTTTACTCTGTACTCGATTGCTTTTCCTGTGTATTTGATGCCTGGATATTGCCTTTGCTCTGTTTCTTCCCATACGTTATTAAAAAAAAAAACCCACAAAGTAGTTCTATCTGTGAAAATGGACATTTAATTTTAAAGAACCAGATGCTTCTTACTGCTATGAAACTGCCAGTGTCCCTTTACAAAGGCATTTTAATAAAGTAATAAAATGGTTTTTATGATTTCTAATACAGAGAAAAATTATTTTGGTCAGAGTAATTCTGCCCACAATTAGAGCTACTGAATATCTTGTAGTGAAAGAAGGATCATTTGAGGGGAAGAGGGTACAAAAGCAATCATTGCTTTTTCAAATGCTGTCAGGGAGGCAATGGGTAGAACCAAAAATCATTCCTTACTGTAGTTTGAATTTTAACTTGTCCTAGTTTGATTTATGGTTAAATTCGGCAAACAGATTTAGATATAAACATTCTCTGAAATAACTGTTACATGTGCAGTTCTAAATTCAACTCAAATGCTTATTTTAAGACACTTCAGGTCTTTGGGTAATGATAATTACCATTAGACAGCATTCTTCCCTAACATGTGTCTTCCAGAACTGTTAATGAACTATAGTTATCTATCTGTTTTAAAAGCCGACATTCAAAATAATTACAATCCCTCTAATCATTACAATTTTTATTTCACTCCAGGAAGTAAGACAAGAAGACATACTTAAACATTGTTCTACCCATGGAAATGAACTTGTTATTCTTAACATAAATGTCCAGTAATGTGTGTGATTTGTGTGAGTTGCTGACAAATCTCTGCATGAGAGCCCTTAAAATCACTCTACTTTGGTTTTCTTTTTAAAAAAGATTAAAGGAATTTTTCTTCCCATTCCCTCTTCTTGCTTCCAAATATATTCAAACAAGTACTTGGAAGACTTCTTTTTGGAAAAGAAAAAAGAAAGAAATGTGTGTTGTGTCTCCTGTGAAAGTGAATTGTCTGTCTGCCCACTGAGTACTCAATGCTTGTATGCAGAGTGAAGAGTCGGCCTGCCATTCTCTGGGTTGCTGTTCTGTACAATTACTGATCTTCTTTTCCTGTTGCAAGCAGCACATATTGCACTCCTATGCCACTGTAATCTGCATCACTGTTGTACTCAGAACATGTCAATGAATAAAGTTTTGTGCTTTATTCTTAAATGTGGATAGACTTTGTTTTATTTCTTTTAGTTGCTGCCCTCAAAAGGCCTACTGTTTGGTGGAGGGTTGGACTCCAGCCACACTAAAGTCTTCCTCCTCTAGAATCCTGAGACAAACACAACTCCCAAATCCATTGGTGTTTGAGAGACGAGAGGCATAGAAAGAGACGTAGCATGTTAGAGCAGAAAAAAAGCCTTGAGAGAATTGAGTCCAACTTTCTCATTTTATAGATGAAGACCATGAAGCCTAGAGAGGGAAGTCACTTTTCCAAGGCCATATGCTAATGAATGACAGAGCAGAACTCAGACCCAGTTAGGATAAATAAGAGATAAGAAGATTTCAAGTCTAGTCAACAAGGACTTAGATTCCCAATATATTCACATTTCTCATTTTCATTCTCTATGTGTTTTCCTTGTTTTGCTTTATGGTTATTCCTTCGGGGGGTCTATTGTCTGTTTTGTTTGGGGAGTTTTTTATAAGTTTTTTTTTTATTTTATTTTTTCCTCTCCCTTCCCCCAGTACTGCCTCTAACAGAAGAGTTTGTCTAGTAAAATCCCTAAAAGCATTTAAGTGGTAGAAGATATTCTACAACAGTGGTATTAGACTCAGATAGAAACAATGGACAGCAAACTATACATAAGGATCAAGCTATACATACAGGTATGTATTGACATAGTCATATATTAACATTTTATTTTATTTATTTTGTTAAAGTTTTCCAGTTACATTATAATGTAGTTCAGGCTGCATTTGAGAGGGCTTACCAGTCATGTGTTTGACACCTGTGCTCTAGGAGATTCTTAAGACCTTGGCCACTATGGGGTGATGGAACCAATATCAACTAGTTTTCCTTTCCCCCCCCCCACACCCTGGGTAAAGCTAGTTTTCCCTAAAAGGTGACAAAGCTGTCCCCAGATCTTGATTAACCCAGGGGGCGAAGGCTCGAGCTGTGCCTCCCTTGATAGATCTTCCTGGTAGCCTCTGGCCTTATTGATGTGGCTTGCTGGCCACCTAAGGGCTCACCTATTGGAGTCCATGTCATTCAGACTTGTCAGATGTGCCACGATTGTGTAGGCCACCACACCTTTTCTGTTTATTACCTATTTCCGTATGAAAAAGAGGAACCATTCTTCAGAGTGAAGTGCTAGAGTATCCTTGTTGAATATCTTTCTGTTCTACAGCCAAAGAAGCCGCCTTTTGTTAATTATAACAGCCTATGACTGCCACATTTTTGTCTCAGCATCAAACTTGAACTAACATGGTGCCAGTCTGAGTCAGACTTTCCCCTAAATCTAACCTTAATCTAGGGGAACTGTAATCCAATTACGCATCTCTATTGAGATGCCATCTTCCTCAAAATCTGCAAGATTGATCAACATTAGAAAGTTTGTTGTTGTTGGGTTTTGTTTCGTTTTTGTTTTTTTAACCAAAATATATTGCCTTTCCTCTGTGATATTTTGCTAATGTTTCTTTTTGCTTTAGGATAAAGAGAGCTGCAACTAATGATAGCTTAATATTCTATCAAGTCTGTGGTTTAGAATGGCCCAAGAATGTCTTCATGGCATTATGACTATAAGCAAAGACATACAGGAAAGAAATGTAAATCACATGTCTATAATAGAAAACCAAAAAGCCTGGAGAAAATTCACCAGGTTTAGATTCATGCATATGGATCAGTCTTTACTAACAAGATATTAAGTTAATCTTATCATAAAAGTATTTTTTAATTCAGATTGTCAATTATAATCATGAGTAGTCAATACTAACAACATAGGGCTTTACAATTCCAAAGCATTTTATACATATTAGCTAATATGATTCTCACAATAACTCAGTGAGGTAGGTAGAATAAATAATATCACCATGTTACAGCTGAGAAAGCCAACTGAGAGAAATTTTGACTTGCTCAGGGTATCAAAACTAGATCAAAACTAGAAGGTGTTAAAGCCAAAATTCAAACCCAAGTCTTCTGACTCCTAAATCCGGTGCTCTTTCCACTATACCGTGCTGACCATGCCACGTGCAAGGCACTTTGATTTGCCACATCTGACTCTCTAGCTGGAAATTATGCTAAGCAGATGAATTTATACCCAAGCCTTTATCCTGATGGCATGTCTATAGATGATAGATAGAAAAGGTTCTAACAGATCAGCAATAGCAGGCTCTTAGATACGGAGAAGGTGCTTGGAAAAGCATGATCTTGACATCAAGTTGCTGAGTAATGTGCATCTAAAAAAGGATTGTGCTGAAACTGATTGTAAAATTTTCAGTGTGAACATTTTTACCTCATATATTGGCAAATTACAAATCAGCATTTGATTTATTGTTTTGATGTTTGTCTGGACTTAAGAACACAAAGGGGGAAATGCTAGTAAGTGCAGATTAATTTTGTAAGTGTATCATGCATATTTTTTCTGGAGAGCTGGTTGTTAAACAATTACTATCATGCCCCTATTCTAAAGTATCTTCTTCTTATTGAAAACCATGGTTCTTTCATCTCAAGGGAAGGATGAATTTTTAGAATGGATATTAAAAGGAGAAATTAATTGTTGTGAAATTATTTCCTCTTTGGTGTGGCACCTGGCCTTCAAGGAGCCCTTTCAGAGTCTGTGTCTCCATGCCGCAGGAAGGCGAATTATGTATGGAAGGGTGACCAACTGTTCTATCTTCATTCAGGACTGAAGTAAAGGAAGCCACAGCAGAGTATTTGACTTGAGCATAGAAAAGAATTTCCTACAGTGAGAGTTTGAATCTGGGAGAGGGGAGTGGAGTTTAGAGTCCTGATTAGAAGCAGCATGCTCTAGACTTTAGAGCACTGGACCTAAAGTAAAGATCTGGGTTCAAATCCTGACTCAGACACTTACTGTGTGACTAGGTGAATCACTTAACTTCTCTCAAGTCTCTGTAAGATGAGGCAGCTGGACTCAATGATCTTTAAATCTATTCCAGTTCTGAATCTAAAAGTCTATGATCCTGTGATTAACTTTGAATCGAGAACATTCTGATAAGAGGTGGGTAGTGGGAGGGAGAGGGGTTCTGGTCCTAGAAAAAGGAACGGTCTGCTACTTTGGTTCTTCTACTGCTGAGAGCCCAATGGTCCACGTACTTCCTGATTTAATCCATGTAATTGAGAGAGCCCAGAGCTTGGTGACTTCTCCTTCAAGCTGTAAATCAACCATCCTAAGTGACTTATTCAAAATCACATAGGTAATAAGGTGGAAGTTACAAAGAGGTCACTTTAGGATTGATATCAGGAAAAACTTCCTAACAATTAGAAGTATCCCAGAGTGAAATGGTGTGCATTGCAAATTGGTGGTTTCCCTTCTTTGGGGATCTTCAAGCAGGGACTGAATGACCCCTGGTTGGGTGTGTTATAGGGGAACTTCTTTCCAATGGATTGGAAGAGATGGCCACTGAGGTCCTTTTTCACTCTCAAGTTTTGTCATCCAGCCATGCAAACAACCTGCATGAAGTCAATAGGGGAACCCCAAGTCTGGGGAATAAGTAGGCCAGTATTGATGGACTATAGAGTGAGGTCAGGGGAGGAATGGGAAGTGAGTAGTAAAGTAGGCTGGAACTACCCAATAGAGTGCCTTAAAGGCTGACAGGAGTTTGTGTTCCATTCTATAGTCAATAGGAAGCCCTGGAAACATCTTGAGCAGAGCAGCTATGTGGAGGATAGATTGGGGAAGGGAGAGACTAGAAGTCAAGAAAACAGTGAGGAAGGTATTGTAAATAGTTCATTAATGGAGACTTCTGCCTCAGGTTTGTGACACATGGCTAGCATAAAGCAGGGCCATCTCTGAGAAGATGGGAAATGCCCTTCTATTGGCAATCCAGGTGTAAGATTCCTGGCCTACTTAACAGGTCCCCAGTGAAACAAAGCCCAAGTTAAGTATCTGCTATTATCCACTGAAGGGGGCCCCACCAACACAGTAAGCAATCTGATAAAG